TACCCAGCAACTTACTGGCTGTGTCAATCTCAACAATTTGAATTCAACTGAATACAAACCTACCACCCAGAAATGCACGTGTAGCAGATCCTTTAGATGAGGCCTGCACAACTCAAAATGTAAGGCGGGCCGTAATACTTTATGAAAAAACTTGTACGGGTCGAAAGATGATAGAACAAAGGGAAAGCTATTAAGAAAATAATAATACTAATAAACAATATTTCGTTGCTTTACGGGCCGCCAAGTACGTGCTGGCAAGCCACATGCGGCCCGCGGGCCTTATGTCGTGCAGGCCTGCTATAGATACATAAAATTGTGTATGCTTTATCGTAGACCATTAGAAGTATATATGTTCTATAAACTGATTTATTCCGATTATGTCGTTTTTTAAAACGAATTATGATTAATATTTTATTGAATATCAGTCATGATCATTGAGCTCTAATGGTCATTTGGGAATATTAATAAACTACATGCATAAAAAGGAGAGTGGCAAAAACATATAATAATAATAATTAGATAAGATGTGTATTGATCCAAATAAATATATATATTTTTTAAAAAAAATAATCAGAAATACGTATTACGACCCCTAAGCAAAGAAAATATGTCCCTGAAAATTAGAAGAAATACATGAAATAATTGCTTTCAAGGTCAACAGTGTTAGTAAGGAAATAAAAAGGGGGGAGGGGGGGCATGTTTAACTTTTATGCTATTTTTAGGATTGAGAATTACAGTTTAAAATTTGTTTCAGTTTTCTGAGCCTTTTTTTTGGACATAAGTCTTATCCAAATGCTAAATATTTATGAGAACAATGTAATTAAAACTCATTTCTATTTATTTGGAAAAATTGTTTAAAAATTGGTACCAGTATTATTTTTTTTAGATTTTCTTTTAAAAGTAAATGAACTATTTAAATTTTGAAGAATTGGCAGAAAATAGCTTTAGGGTTTGCTGTTTCACATGACTGAACTAATTAAAACTTGATATTTAAGCAAGTCCAAAATGTTTGCATTTTTAATTCTACAAACTTTGATATAAAAGTTGATTGATTACTTTAAAAAAAAACATTGTGTCTCTGGATCTTCTGGAAATTTTATATAATTCATTCACATATGTTTAAGCGTTTATATAAAGCTATGTGTTTTCTTGATTATCATTGTGAACTGTATGCAACACAATGTGACTTTTCTAAAATATTACCTTTAAAAAACGAATTTTGGTAGAGGATTGAATGTAGCTATTGTTGTAGCTCGAGCTAGTAATACCCGATGCGGGTCCAGATATTTGTCGCCTCCACAGCGGAAAAATATTTTTATTTGGTCCAGAATGCCCCCACCCTATTTTTCACACGGAGTTTTTGCACACTCCTAGGGAGTCTGGTGACTTGGTAGACGATATCCCTCAGCCAGAGACTATTGCGATCCTCCTGTGAGTGTGGTGGCATGATAGACGATAGAGAAAAGGAGAAAAGTTCATTTTCTCGGGTTAGACGGAGCTAATAAACCCTTGAACTTATTTTACTTTATTTTTTTTTTATTTTAAATTACTTCCTAACAGACGAAGGCCATTACCCGACCATTCCGTTTCTTACTATACAACTTTATTTTCAGAACTTTTAAGACAGAATTATTGAGCCACTATTCAATACATATTTTGTCCTCAAAGCGTTTTAAGTTAATTAAAAAATTTAAATAATTCAACACATTTCAGTTTAATCAACAATTTTTTGAATATGTTGTTGAAATGAATATGTATATATTCATGATAATTTTAAAGAGAAGATGTCGTCGCGTGGGTTACGATCCAGTTGATGACAACACCATCTCTACTGCTTAGACACTAGTTGATGACAACAACAGCCCACGGGCCATAATCTAGTTGATGACAGCCCCAGCCCAAGGGCTACAATCCATTTGATGACAACCCAAGCCCACGGGCTACAAACTAGCTAATCACAACCCAACCCAAAGGCTACAATCCAGTTGATGACAATCCAAGCCCACGGGCTACTATGTTATTGATCGCAGCATAACGGCCACATTCTAGATGGTGACGATTACAGCTCACGGACTAAAATCTATTTCAGACGTCGTAAAATCGCGGCTCGCACGCCGGATGCGGCACTTTAGCCACCTGCGTGCGGCATCGCCATTCGGCCAGAAATCGGTTTTGACTCCGAAAAACTTGATTCTTGACAGGGTCTTGAAAACAAATGTGGCTTTCAAGTTTTAATCGTCCTGCTACTGATTTTTTGCTCTTATGACTAATGAATTTTCCGACCACTGGTCTAGTTGATGACAACCCAGTTAATGTAGATGACAATTGCAGCCCACTTAAAATAAAGTGTCCTTCAAATACAATAAACTACCTTACTGGATGAAAATGTAGGCTAAACTGTCCTTTTATAAGCGGTGACTAACACATATTGTTCTTATGATTAAAGAATCTGTAAGGAAATCAAATGAAGTCTATGTATGAATGAGATATACAAATTAAGATGTACACTCATACCATGTCTTATAGACAGCGACTGTCCAAAATTTAACACGGGCTAAAGTTGCACTCAACTTTATCTCAAAAACCAAGCGCGCAAAAAAGAACAGTACTGAAACTCCTATACCTTGACCTCGTAAGTGTGGTTTTCAACGGTGGAGGGCGACAGTTTCCACGTGTCTCAAGTAGTTAAACAAAAGAAATGCTTGACATTTGTAGTTGGAAAAGGATCTCCTCACAGAGGCAAATGTATTCATTTTTTAGCATCACATGCGTTCATATGTGTGTGGACGTGAGTTTGGACAGAGTTTGAAAAATCTTGGTCTACTGGGAATATGTTTCATTGACTGTTGTCATTTGTGTGTAGATTTTCCATTCTTAGTGGGATGTTTATCTTTATTTTAAAAAAAACCCACTTTGAATAGACGTGAGGCTTACGTGCTGAAAAGCACGTTTGTAGGAGAGGGCTCGAAGCAACATTGTTATCTTGATATTTGTCACGTGAAATCGGTGAAAATGTTCTAACTATTTTGACAGCTTAATTATTTTTGAATGTAAAAAAAAATATAACTCGGAAGTTATATGAAGTTCAGCATTAAGTTAATTGGTGTAAGTAATAAAAGCTGCAGAACGTTGCAACGTTTCTAGATTTTTTATTTATAACTTCAAAGAAATACACTTCAAATTGTATATTCTTTTTTCATTACTTCAAATATATATATATATATGT